TATACTGCTGCCTTCAATGACGATTATAAATGAATCTGATGTATTGTACGATAATAATGGATCTATTCTAGTCTGCCGAAATCTGCTCAATTTCACGGTTAGTTCAAATCCACAGGATAATCTCTCAGGAGATGATTCGAAGGAAGCGCTAGGAATACTGACGATCGTCTGCATTGCCATTTCTCTCGTCTGTTTACTCATACGAATTGCACTGCAACCGTTTGTTGCATTATTTCAAACTTTCCCAGGAAAACTTCAACTATCTCTCTGCCTCTCTCTAGTATTGTGGAAAGTTTTCTTCTTAGCTCGACCATTTGCCAGTTTAAGTGGCGACGTCAGCGCGTGCATCGCGGTGGCTGCGTTATTCCATTGGAGCTTACTGGCGTCGTTTTTCTGGATGAACGTCATTGCTATTGATTTGTGGAAGACCTTTAGGCGCACGTCATCGTTACAAATATCGGCAGAGTCCAACAAAACTATCTTTGGGTATGTCTGCTATGCAACTTTATTGCCAGGCGGAATTGTTGCTCTTTGTCTGGTTTTGGACTACGTCGACATAGATTCTCAGTTCCAACCGCATTACTCGGGGCCCGCCTGTTACATTAGCAATATCTACCCGCTTGTCTTGTTTCTCGTGGCCCCTATCGGAGTTATCCTTATTGTGAATATCGTTCTTTTTGCCATGATCGCAAGGTCAATACACATCGCCATTTCTGAGGCGGGAAAACTGAAGGCAAAAAGAAACAAACACACTTTTCTTATTTATGTGAGACTTTTTGCTCTGATGGGAACAACGTGGCTATTTGGCTTCCTTTCCGGAGGACTCAATGTCCTCGCGTTGAACTTTATCTTCGTTATTTTAACAACTTTGGACGGCTTATTTATATTCATAGCCGTCGTCTGCTCAAGGCGGGTGTGGCGGGATCTTCGAGACCGGAAGATAATAACTAGGTCCAGCACGCGCACTTTGACACTTAGCTCAAGTAATAAGCTTCCGCCGACACCAAAATCTCCCACTCCATCGGAGAGCAATTCCTTGAAATTCTCACTAAAACAAGACACAAGTTTAAGTCGGCTTTAAATGTAACATTGCTCAAAATATGGTGTTTTTCTATCAGTTTTAACCTCTACAGAAAATGATGTTGATTACTGTTATTATTATTATTATTATTATTATTATTATTATTATTGAGATAACATAACAGGCACTTTCTTTTGAAACTGAACAATTGCTCTTTGTACTGGGGGGGGGATATTTTTGTATACAGCTCTATATGGATGTTTATACCTTATAAGATTTTATTTTACATTTCCGGTGATAGCTCATGTATTTCTCCGTGTACACGTATTCCATAAATATGTATATGTATGCCACACTGGTATCATCATCATATCGACCGCAGTCGAGTGTTAGTATACCGATATCTGCATTTACTATTACCAGTCATATGTTTGACCTTTTTTGCCAACTAAGCTTTGAAAGCTTAACGCAACATAAACATTTTAACACAGCGGTTGTTGGTGAAACCTGACCAATGCTACAATGTAGAACAAATGTAAATTCATTTAAAAAGTGCCAAATCCAATTGCGTATACATGGATAATGGACTTCTGCGCCCGACAATAGTGTGTGTGCCGTGCTCTGTTATTTTACAGTATGCCGCGTATGTATCTTAATTCATGTAGTTTTTAATTATTGGTGTTACTAAACAAAAACAAATGTATATAATGTATAAAGTACTGAATGATCATAAGTCTTTGTTTTTCTCTTCAATGTTTATTATTATTATTATTATTATTATTATTATTATTATTATTATTATTTATTTTAGAAGAGGTTAGTTACGTAATTGTTAGTTACGTAATGTCCATTGCATTGGCCTTACTTTTAATAAAATGTGCTTTCTCCCCTTACTGTCGTCTGCTACAAATCAATAAATATCTAGATAAAACTATTTCATAAAATAACTAAGCAAATTAATAAATACAATTACTGCAAAATTAGTTCTTAAAAGACAAATAGATAAAAAATCTGGTGATTAAAAGATAATACATCTTAAATTTGCCGAGCATAATTGTGTGGTAGAAAAGCAAGGAGAAAACTCAGAAGTGATGCTGTTCCCAGTATATTTGACTTTTCGGAGTACAAACAAAAATGGGAATCGCCCCTGGAGGAGGAGCGCAATAGGAAGTGCTTAGTTAGATGAAATAATAAAAACAGATTATGTGAAATATAAAGTGAATTGATTTTATTTGGATTATTTATTTATTTTTCAAACCAATTAATTATCAAACATAAAGCTTATTTTTAGAAACATCAACAGATATTACTGCAATATAACCATGCTAGTACACAGATCTACAGTTCTAAAATGCAAATACCAAGTACCTTTTACACACCACTGATGAGATGTGAATAATCATATGTATAAAGTAGTAAAAATATCACAAAATGTGTGTATGAAAGATATTTCTACAAGTAACCGCATTAATCAGTCAGGAAACTTCGTAATGCACTCAATAAATGTAGAAATTTGAGCAAGAGAAATTCTACATACAGACATGACAGATTTTCCATATATTGCCACCAACCCTAAACTGTATGGGTATAAAAAGAACAAAGTGAATCTCCCTCCCATTAAAAATAAATTAAAAAAACAGATATTGTCATTCTTAATACTGAAAAACAATGGCATCTTGCAGCCTTCACTGCCTCACTATTTGCAGACTATGTTCTAGTCACTGTAACTGTGTACTTTTGAGGAGGCATAGACGTAAGGATAACTCCTTTGAAGTATATTGTGAAGGTCTCTTTTGTCATAAATCTGCCCCATATAACCGGAATGTACATATTGCGATTCACACCGCAGCAGCTTGTCTTAGTAAGGACTCAACCAGTTGAAAACTTGTGGCACAGCTTCAGGGACAAGATCACATCAACTACCCTTGCTGTGATGATGGCTCTACATTATCTTGTCCCCCTAGTTTCTCTAATACCATTTCCCCTGTCTATGCTCACATCAATCTCTACTGCTTTGCCAACTGCTACACAGTTTTTGCATCTGAAAGTATACAGAAAAAATTGTAATAAAGCATTATCAATTTACTTGTTATATATTGATTTCAGGGCGAGAGAAAAGGGCAGAAACCTCATATCATAATCAAGATAATTGAAAATCAAGTTTGCATAATCAAATAGCTTTAATTGTACATACTAGTGATGATTTTATCTTTTAAACTTCAGCATAAATGTTGACTTTCATTTGTTAAAGCATAGCCACTTAATCAAAATGTGCTTGAACAAACAAAAATAATAATAATAACAAACAACCTGCACACATGATGGAACATGGAGGTCAATTGCCACAAAAATAAGTTGATACGTACATGTACTTGGTAGCCTGAGAAATAATATCAGGTATTAATTTGAGCAACAATAATACCGCAGAGTTAACAACGACACAAGCATATGGTGTTATGTAACAAAATTTCATGCATTACTTGCTGTGGCAGTGTCCTACTCAAGCTATCGTGCAACGCAGGTTTTGATTTTCAGTGTCATCAAAATTTTATACTATTGTTAGTTTGACCTTTGTATCTGCTATTCAAATAATAACTAACTAATTTAATCATGCTTTTGCAATATGAAATTATCATTAACTTTGCCGGTTCACGTGTACACAGTACACTGTACCTAGCTTTCAGTGCTGCTCTTTTCTCCCCAGCTCGCCACTGACAGGCTAACCACATCGTTTCAAAACAACGTTGGTATGATTCTTTACTTTTGGTGTAGGCAGTTTCGCCCCGGGGACATCGTCTTCGGTTAAAAAGAACGCATCGTTTTCACACATCTTTGCATTGCTCCTTTACAAATGTCCGCTTGACGCCAGCCCAAGGGAAAAATTGTAGCACGTGGGTAGTTACGCAAGACCTGTGACGTGTAATGCGCGCAAGGTTTAAAAACCCGCGTGTTGCTCTAGTCTCATTGGACTTATTTCTAGACCCTCATCCAATCGGTGTTCACCAACCTTGGTGAAAGATCTTGAAAACATGGTTACGATTGGCTGAATAAACTTAGTCAAAACGTATGTGGTCAGAGGTGGCCTAACCTGACCACTTATCGTCATTTATATGTTATTATGCAACAACACTTGTACCAAAAACCTGTTGCTAACAAAGAGTTCAGGTGTATATAATAGGGCCGACTAGTTCCCCGATAGGAACAAAGGTTAGTAGGAACCCATTGTTTGACTTGGTGATACTGGCTATACGATAGGCAACGTTTACGTAAAATAAGCAATATACAGGTAAGTACATGTAAGACTTTTGCATAGGTAATGACAGTGTACCAGTGTGGTTGTTGCCTGCAGGTAGCGATACGGGTACACAGATCGAGAGGGAAAGGTAATCTGGACGACCAATCGAAGCAACTTACCTTCCTTTCGGATAACTTAAGTTTGGATTTAACCTTGAGTTGGAGACTGCTCAAGTGTATCGGAAAGAACACTGTAACCTCATCATCCTCTGATGGACTAATGTATATGCCCCCATATGTAGCTTACAGTTACGTGAACATTGTACAAGGAGCCGACCACATGAAACAACATGTACGTATCTATGTATATACTGATCATGACATGCAAAGGTAGGATACGCAGTTCATGATACTGTGGACATTTTTTTTTTTTTTTTTTTTTTTTTTTGTATGAACCTGCGTCAGAAAAATTTATTGTACTAATGTCATATTTTTTTCTAAATTTGGCCTCAGTCGTAAGAAATAGTGAATATCAATCCATACAAGACATATGAGCAAGGTTGAATTTTGAAATACAGAAAATATTAGTGCCACGAACGATTCTGCGCAATCGAGTCTTGACTACTTACCGGGTATTTATTAAATTGTCATTAATGATAATTATTATTTTATTTAAGTCTTATAATACACAAGAAGGTTAGTTTTCACTACACTTTTTGTGTATTGGAAGACCCTATGAGAATAGTCTGAACAGTCTAATCTAAGAATGTTGATGTCAAGCCATACACCGGTTGCGATAACGATCAGGCGATGTATCATTGAGAACAAAGGCGCATAGTCGCATTTGCATCCGCTTCATTTTCACCTAATTAGTGGCCCAACAGCCCGTGAGACGATAAGTGGTACAATTAAATGATACATCCACACGGCACATTCAGAAAGGTCTGTGCGTGGGGGGGGGGGGGGGGGGATAAACCATATATCACACACGCGCCTCCATTTTTGGAGCAATCTGCCATCGACCATTTATCACAGCGTCATGTTGTTTTTTCTATTTCAGAAACATTCAACGATGAGGCTTTTTAGCACTACCAGCGTATCCGGGCACCTATCACGTTGTTCAAAGCTCTTTCGGTTAGCGCAATACAAAAACAGCAATACAATGAATGCAATTTACATACTGGTTCAAGTGTGCATAGTTTGGAGACCAGTTTCATCTTCACACTCGATGTTCCCGCCTGAACAGGACTGGTCCTCTGTTCCAGATCTAGACCCACGTCAGCCTGGATATGTGGATGATATCTACCCGAGCAGTATTGACCTATGCAACGGCTCTGTAGAAGCGGAGGCGGTCATAAGGAATGCACGGAAATGCTCGCGATTGGACTCCTGTTCTCAACGATGCGGGGAGGCGGCTCATGGTGGTGACGACTGTTCTTGTGACTCCAACTGCTTAGTTTACGGTGACTGTTGTTACGACTACGGCGACCAGTGCCAGTCTAATTCTAATGTGACCAGGATTATCCCAGCGACTGCGGCCGTTCCAGTCTGCATTAGGACATCGGAATATGAGTTCGGGTTAGTCTTGGGGAAAGGGTGCTCGGCACAGTGGAAGGGGACTGAGATGGAGAAAAAATGCTTTGAAAACAGCAGTGTCGTAACACACGTTATTCCCGTCACTGACGTCACAAACCAACTCCACTACGCAAACATGTTCTGCGCTAGGTGTAATGACGTCACAAATTATACTTTTTGGAGCGCCTCCTTTATTTGTCAGAACGACAGTGATTTTGTTGCCAACGTCACAGACCCTTTACTGGCGTTCGAACATAATTTGTGTGACTTAGTCCTACATGTATCTGAAATGAGACGCTGTATTTCCAGCGAAGTAGTTGTTGACTGTCAACCAGAAAGCAGTTGTTCAACACAGATACGAGATGCGTGCAAGACGTACAAAAACATCGTACAGTCCCATGATAAGGCATACCAGAACGAATACTGCGCTATATGCAATGATGAAAACTTAATAAGTATGCATTGTCCACGGGGCGGCGATTTTTTACCTGACATTACCTATGAAATTATTAGTCCCGGTAACTCTGAGGATTTGACAGGGAGTAACAGGCCGTCTTTTGGTTCTTTCTCGTTCTCGATTGTCATGGACTTCAGTAAAGATTCGAAGGTGCAAGTTGGAGTCCGTGCCGAAGGGACAGATGAAGTCACAAAATGCACACTGGACGGGATGACTTCATCTTGCATTCCATCCCAGTGCCGGAGGGACTATGTTCTTATTGACGGCACGTGCGTCCTAGGTGTCGTATTGTACGACGTGGATATTTACACCTACTGGAAAACAAATGTTGGTTTTCAAGATTTTCCATCTAATACTGAACTGAATTATTTTGGACATACGCTTAGTTATTTCGTAGCCGGTCTTTATGGAGAAAAAGTGCGAGGTGCAGTCACTTTTGAAGTGGTTCGTAAAGGGTGGGGTTCGTTTCAGGTGCAAAACGGATTTAAACTGCAGTTTGACGAAACTGTCGATCTTAGAAAGACTGAGGAGGAATGGAGAAAAGAAACACGAAATGAATCATTCAGAAATATTCTTGCATACTACGTGGATTTTGTCAACTCCACAATTTCTCTATCGCTCTATTACGATCCGTATTTGTTAGATGAAGCTTTGACTAGGGAGAAAGCCATCGACGAAGTGTTGATCATTGCTGAAACAGATTGTGAGCGCATACGTTTCGATAGTTACAACACGACAGAAAATGGAAGTATTGTCCTCTTACCCTCAATGACAATGATTAATGAATCCGATGCATACTACGAAACGGATGGATCGATTCTTGTCTGCCTAGATGTGCTTAATTTTACGGTGGTCGGTTCAAATTGGGAGGACGAAACTGTCGCAGACGATTCAAAGAAGGCGCTGGGAATCTTGACGATCGTCTGTACTGTTATTTCCCTTCTTTGCTTGCTCATACGCATAGCTTTGCAACCGTTTGCACGCCCGTTTCAAACTTTCCCAGGAAAACTTCAACTGTGCCTTTGTTGCTCTTTGGTCATGTGGAAAATGTTCTTCTTAGCTCGACCATTTGCCAGATCAAGTGGTAACGCCAGCGCGTGCATCGCGGTGGCTGTGTTATTCCACTGGAGCTTGCTGACCTCATTTTTCTGGATGAACGTCATCGCTGTTGACTTGTGGAAGACTTTCAGAAGCACCGCGGCTTTGAAAGTTTCGGCAGAGGCCAACAAGACTATCCTCGGTTATGCCTGCTACGCGACTTTCCTCCCGGGCGGAATTGTTGCAGTTTGTCTTGTTCTGGATTACATCGACATAGATCCCCAGTTTAAGCCGAACTACCAAGGCCCCGCCTGCTACATAAGTAATATCTACCCACTCGTCTTGTTTTTAGTGGCCCCAATCGGCGTCGTACTTATTGTAAATATCATCCTTTATGCGATGATTGCAAAGTCCATACACGCTGCTTTATCTACGTCTCTAAAACTCAATATGAGAAAGAACAAACACTCTTTTGTAACTTATCTGAGGCTCTTTGCGCTGATGGGGACGACCTGGATATTCGGATTTCTGTCTGGAGGACTTGGCATTCTTGCTATGGAATATATCTTCGTGATTCTAACAACCCTGGATGGCTTGTTTATTTTCATAGCCGTCGTCTACTCTAGGCGGGTTTGGGAGGAACTTCGACACTGGAAGTGTGCCACGAGATCAAGCACGCCTAAAGTGACGCAGAGCTCCAGCAGCCCGTATACCTGTTCCGCAACCCCAACATCTTCAAGTACGGCAGAGACCCTGCGATCTTCAACTAACTGTGGCACAGAAATAAGTCAAGTTTGACTGAGATACCACATAAGTCATTAAACAAACAGTTTACCTCGTTTGTCTGTCGAACAAATTTAGCGTGTTGGCAAACTCGATATATAGTGAGATAATCTGAACGACGTTGACGAAGCGATGCACTTTATACCCATAGGTGAGGTTTTATTTTGAGAGCTTAAGGGAAAGAAGAGGGGTTTACATTAAGTAAAAATGGAAATATTGAATTTAGTTAATCAGGACATAGAATGTTCGAAAATACAGGAATACTGTCATAAGACATTTTGTGGCTGAATGCAGAGGAACTGTTCATTTTTTATACAATTTATGTTCTGAATATTTTTTCTTTTATCATTGTATGCATGTATTGTATTTTTAAATGGTGTTTAAAATAAAGCATAGATAGTTGTTTCGCAGCCCTTTTAGGGTTTGAATTTTGTCGAACCTCATTTAATTGAAAATTGCATGCGTGCGCGCACACACACACACGCACACACACACACACACACACACAAATCGGACTTTCCACACATGTCATCTTCACACATTTGATTTTTCAAGAATTTATTCAAACTTTAAATAATTGTTTGACATCTGTCGAACTGTATTTTATTGCAATCGGGTACGCCCCCCCACACCCCCTCCCCTACC